TTTTCGTAAAAAAAATTGTTCAAACTTTAACTCTCATCTAAATTTTTTTCTAGTGATTGAAAAATTACCAAAAAAAAATACACAACCTAGGCTAACTATTTACTAAGTTTTGGAAAAGTTTTCAAGGCTGTAGCACCTCTCTGTAAGCAGATATAGGTGTGGGGTTTTTTTTGTCTTGCACTGTAGACTCAAACAAAAAAAATTTTTGTAAAATTTTATTATAAAATTTTCTTTTTATATTTTAATCTTATCTAACTCTAATTTTAATTAAATATCTAAATTTATTTTTGTTGTTTTATTTAATCTTAAATAAAAAATAATAATTTGTATATATATACAATATATAAGTACATCGCAGGGTATGACTCATATATTTATCCATATTTAAAATAAAATTATATAATAATAAAATTTAATTTTATATTATAAAAAAATTTTGAGCTAGTTATAAGTTTAGAATATTAAATTTTATAAAAATTTATTTATTCTTGATAAACTTTATAAATATTAAATTTAAATCTTAATTTTTAATATAATATTATAATTTATATAAAGAATTAAACTTTTATTACAGTAAACTCTCTCTAAATACAATTTGCACAAACACTATAAAAATTTAAAAAATTTTTGCATTTAGGAGATATTGCATTTAGGGAAGTAAAAATTTATAAGTATATATGTAATAGAGACATAGCAAAGCCATGCATTTATGAAGATTTTTTTTTTTTTGGTGTTAAGGCGACCCTTTCGGTCAAGTACTTTATTATTGTTTTGGATTATTTTTACAACTAGATGATCTATATCTGTCGTACATATATTTCTATATATATAACCTTGATATAATACTATTTTAGTAACTACCTTAGAACAATTTTATTCTCAGAGTAAACTTGCTAGAGTCTTCTGTACCCACAATCTGGCTGATCTAGGCTTCAGTTGATACACACAAGCCGAGGCCTGCTACTTGTGTCCCAGTTTCTATAGTGAAAGTGTTCTTCAGCTGTTTTGTTCTTACCAGTTTTTTTGTATCATTTTTAACTAACTATAGCCTGATATTTATGAAGATTTTTCATAAAACGTGTATTTAAAAAGATTGTTTTATAGAGGTTTGACTGTATAAAATTTTTATAATTAATTTTGTAAAAATAAAACTTATATTAATACAGTCTGACCTCTCTATAGTTATACCCATATAATCACACCTTGATATAAGCATTCAATATTGTGTGACAAATTTAAATATAGTAAAAAAATCTCATTATAGTCACAAATCACTTATAATCATTATCACATTAAAATTTAATTTTTTAAATTCAATTTATTAATAAAAAATCTCTTTATAATTACTAATTTATCAATTGAAAGATTTTTTAACATTTAACTCTTTCTAACGATCCTCTGGATAACGCAACAAAAAATCAAACTACAGAAAAATGCTATAGGAAGTTCTAAGATAAATATTATTTGGGTTCTGTCTTTGAGTAAGCAGTTATCAACAAAGCCTGTAGACGTGAAACACCGAGGAGCGGGTGTAACTTGAGCAGTTTTTTTTAAGATCAAGCTTTTGTATTTTCGGTAGACTTCTCAAGATATTCGGCACCCAAACCAGAAGGATATTCTGGGAACTGAACTTATCTCTAAACAGGTTGCTGTCGATGAAGCTCGAAAGACATAAAACACCAAGGAGTGGGTGTAACTTGAGTGGTTCTTCTTGGGGTCAAGCTTTCTTGTACTGGTAGACTTCCCAGGATATTTGGCATCCAAACTAGAAGATTTATTCTAGAAGCAATAGTGGACCAGCTCTCGCTGAGATAGTTTTGTCTTAAAGAATCAACTATATGACTATAAAACTTATAAAAGAACCTCACACATTTTCGTTGCCCCACTACTTTTTTTTGGAGGAAAATTTTGTAAAAAAGTGGACGATTTAGTTTACCCCCCTCCAAAAGATCAATATATTGTTTACTTACCAAATCGGGTGGTATTGTTTATGTTTTTACTTGTCACAACAAACACATGGATACATATGAATCATAGACATGTAGATTACATGCCTCGAACATGGCAATCTGAAAAAACAATACTCCGAGCCCAATAGTATGATTTCTGAATTCTCTACAGTGCTGATTTCGAAGAAGCTGATATTTTTTTCCCTAAGAGTTTTTTGTTTAAACATATTAATTATATAAATTAGTGTAGAGAGTAGTTTAAATAGTAATATGTAATTTTTAAAGCCTGACACAGGCTTATAATTGTGACCATCCAGTGCAGGTGAAAAATCCTATATTTAGTTTAGTTTTCTCATTTTTTCTTTACCTCTTTTATTTTCTTTTATTTGTTTTTTTTACATATTCCCTATACCTCTGTATTTGTTTTAAAACTTTTTCTTTTTCTTTCACTTCCCTACGAGAAGATATCATCAGATTGGTGATATCCTATTGTAGGGCGGTAGTCAGACAAGCCCCGGGTAGGTATTATCTTAATTGATCATACCTTACTGGTGTGGCCAAGTCACCTGTAGGTGCATATAAATAATCGGTTAGATTATGCAAGATAACCGCAGGATATCAGATCCTAGTTTTAATGTAATGCACCCTTTATGGGGTTATGACTTAATTAAATAAAAGATACTGGTATGACTTGTCTAAGTGAAAAAAAAAAAGGTTTTTTGACTAAGTTAACCACCTTTGAGTCTCTAAATAAAGTTGTAAAACTTATTAAGACGAATCTAATGGTGTTAATTATCCAAATCAGCCTAGTGGATGTTGAGATATCTTCAAAAAACGTTCCGACTATAGAAAATTTCTTTAAAGAATTTATATAATTAGCAAAACATTTTTCGAAGATATCTTAGCATCTACTAGGCCGATTTTGACCAATTAATCATTGATTGGCTAAAAATCATGTGATTTTCACCTGATATTTGTTTATAGTCACACCTCTATACAATCACCACATTAGGGCGTGACCAACTTGTGATTATACAGAGGTCTGACTGTAGTAAAAAATTTTTTATAGATAAAAACAAATAGAACTTATATTAATAGTAAAATTTTTTTATAAATAAAAATATATAAAACTTAAAAAAATTAAAAAATTTTAATAGTAAAAATTTAAAAAATTTAAAAGTTAAACCAGATTTTAAAATATATTTTTTTTACTTAAAAATATATATTACTAAAGTTAATATTTAAGATTTTACTTAACAAATTTTAAATATTTCTTAAAATTATAGGCAAATTTTCCTTTAATACAGATGAACAAAAATGTCACATAATAATATTAGACATTTGGACAATTTGAACATTTAGATATTTGGACAATAACCAATGTGTTCAAGAACATAATGAAATTTTTATTGGACATTATAATGGACCCATATCATTTTATCGACCGACAACTTAGTTCAAGACAATTAATTTACAGACAAGCTTATTTACTGACGATTAACTCAGACAAGTTCATTTCAGACAGTTTATTACACCAGCAGCTTATTTCACTAGTTTTTTCTTATAAATTGCACTAACCTTAACTCTAATTCTAAACCTGACCCTAATGACAATGACCAGAATTACTTTATCGGTGAAATGAACTGTGTAAAAAGAACTTGTCTGCGAATTAATCGTCAGTAAAATAAAGATTTTCTGTAAATTAATTGTCGGTGAATTAAGTTGTCGAAGTGATTGCCGATAAAATGAAGAACCGTTATATTTATGTAGATTATTACTGATCATTAGATTCTTATTAAATTGTACAATAAAATTATTAGACAATTGGACATATGTTGAATGTCTAATGGTCCAAAAAATTGAACATAGTCCAAATGTCTAAATGTTCAAAAGTTCAACTAAATTTATTTGAAATTGTCTAATGACAACTCTGCAGACGAAGGGATAGTCGCACTTTTTTTTTTTTTTAGCTATATAGCTAGTATAAAATATATATATAAATTTTGACCTTTATATATGATCAATCTAGTGATTATATCAAGGTGTGAGATTGCAGCCAGTACAAATCAGATCCAGGATTAGCGTTTGGTAGTGAATAAAATTAAATGTGTTGTTTAAGGTCATTGTTATATAGATTTATTTTTCTCATTTGGAATGTAAGATAGTATCCACATCTTACGAGAAAATTTACTCGTAAATTATCATGAGTAACCTGATTGAACTATCGCAATATATTTCAAGCCCCATAATGTTAGTGGGACTGTGTAAGGGACAGTATGTGCCTTATTATAAAATGATTCTAATTTTATATGTTGTGTCTCGAATATCAACTTGCCTCAGGCAACAGCTGAAGTACCTCAGATATTTAATGTTTGGCCGGGTCGGCACTGATTGACCTAAACTATATCCACCTACCTAATTTTAACCTTAATTTAGACTAGTTAATATCTGAGGCAAGAATACATCTGAGACAAAACATATATATTAGTGCACATAAAATTTTAGAAAATGTTCATGTGACAAACATGAACTTAATACACTGGGAATTAGGGTTGAGAGATCAGATATAGTTTAGACCAACTATTAATACTTAAATCTGAGATGCTTTAGCTGCAATCTCACACAAGATTTAGTCTGAGACACAACATATATATGAGTTTTATATAGTATTCAAATTATGTCTTTATTATGTCTTTATTATGTTTACACTATTCATTCCCTGAAACAATCAAAAGCAAGGAATGTTAATATAATATTCTTTCTGTTTAGTATATAATTTCCATAATTACCATTCTATTGTAGCTGGTGGTTTGCTTGAAACATCATAAACAACTCTGTTGACTCCTATTATGTTTTATGTTAAAAAAATTTGGTAATGTTATCACAAAGTGCTTAATAAATAACTTGTAACTACAAAGTTAATACCTTTTACTTCATTTATAATCCTATTGCTAATGCGTTTCAAGGCATCATAAGGAAATGGGTACCTATTAAGGTTAATAATCAAAAGACTTTAATTTTTATCTTAAGTTTAATTCAAGAAAGGATTTATATCTGGAAATGACTACCAATCTGCTGTCATGAAATCAGTCGTCTCTACAGCTCTCAATGCAATAACCTGTTCGTATGTCCTTTTATCACCCATCACACCCACCGCCTTTACGGGTAACAAGGCAGCATAAGCTTGTGAAATCTTCCGATAGAGTCCAGCTTTTTTTATTTCTTCAATGTATATATGATCAGCAGCACGGACAATGGCAACTTGGCTTGGCGTTACTTCTCCTAATATACGAATAGCAATTCCCGGTCCGGGAAAAGGATGACGCCAAATTAAATCTTCGTCTAAATTTAGAATTTTGCCAAGCTCGCGAACTTCGTCTAGAAAATATCTATTTTAAAGAATTGTTGCATTACATGCCAAACTTATCAAAAAAAAAAAAAAAAACTAGAGAAACCTTTGAATAATTCTCTTAGAGGTTCTATAAGCTTTAGTTTCATATCTTTTGTTAATCCGCCAACATTCTATTAGTTGAGAAATTATTAAAATATGATCCTGAAGGGATAATACTATTAATATAATTTAAAGTAAATACGTGATGAGTTTTAATTGTAGCACTTGGGCCTTTAAATGAAATGCTTTCTATAACATCTGGATAAAGAGTGCCTTGAAGAAGATACTCAATATTTCCATGTCCACTTTCTTTAGTTTCTAGGTCAATTTTTGCAGCCTCAGATTCAAATACTTCAATAAATGTATTGCCGATTATTTTTCGCTTTTTTTCTGGATCTGTAACCCCCTTGAGACGATCTAAGAATTTACTGGAAGCATCTACAACTTTGAGATTAATACCAAGATGATCACCAAGCAGTTTCTTGACAATTTGACATTCATTAAGTCTCATCACACCATTATCAACAAGTACTGCATGAAATCTAACGAAGATAGACAAATCTTGGTATATATTTTTTTTTATGAGTTTGGGGTATGAAATTAAGTCACACGTACCTGTCTCCTATGGCTTCTTTCATCAGCTTAGCCGCTACAGTACTATCTACACCACCACTAACTGCACCAACAACCTGCCCATTTGGACCAACTATTTGACGAATTCTTTCAATCTCTTTATCAATGAATGATTCCTATTCAAGCATAATGTGTGGGGGTTTTTTTTTTTTTTTTTGATTTTACTAATATGTCGTTAAGTTGGTTATAGTTCATAAAAAAACAGACCATCGTCCAATTTGTCTGACATCCACAAACACTGGTAACAAAATTTTTTAAGATATCTTTTCCATGAGGTGTATGAGTAACTTCTGGATGAAATTGCATTCCAAACAAGTATTTTTCTTCGTGAACGATAACGGCGAATGGAGAAGTTAAGGTATGACCAATGACCTTAAAACCATCGGGCGCTCTATCAAGTTGATCTCCGTGACTCATCCAAACCTGTCAACAATTTTAAATATTATTAACGATGAATTATTTGCCCGTAACGTTTACACACATGCCCACCTGAATATCATTCTCAAGACCATCGAACAACTTATTGGCAAACGGATGATCTTGATGCTTTATGATACTCAATGTTGCGTGACCGTATTCTCTGTGATCACAAGGCGCAACTGAACCACCAAAATTCCATGAAATTTCCTAAAATTGAACAAATATATGTTTTTATGTCGATTTGGTTAGTGGTTGAATGTATGAATGTTCTTCAACATTATTTGTTTATTCATTACTTGAAGCCCATAACAAATGCCTAACAATGGTACTCCAAGGTTAAAAACCATTGGGTCAACGTGTGGTGCGTCTTTATCATACACAGAATATGGACTCCCCGAAAGGATTATTCCTATTCCATCAAAAAGGATACATTCGTTAAATTTAGTCTTGATTCACATCCATATGCGAGGAATCAATAGAATGGAACAAATCATTTTTATAAATTAAATTAAAATATTTCAACAGTTACCAATTTAAATTTAATAAAAATTTTTTATAATTAAAATAAAAAACAATTTATTAAATTTTGTTTAGTAGTTGTTAGGATATTTTAGCTTAAAAATTCTAAAAGCTTTTATTTAGAAAAATTGCTCATTTCTACTGACTCCCCCTATATTTCTGATTCGAATAAGTTATTAAAATTTTGACCTTTTGGATTAAAATTTAGCACATTGATCTTTTGAGTGCATGGTAGCATTTCACAATAAATGCCAAATTCGCGTACTCGACGAGCAATCAAATGAGAATATTGTGAACCAAAATCGAGGATTAAAATGGTGTCATATAGAGAGTGAACCTGCGTGACTTGTTCTTGATCCATTTTACTTAATAACAGCTTTATGGATTTCTAATGACTTAACTAAAAAAAACCAACTTTTTCTAAGAGTATAATAAGCTTTTTCCTTAATTTTCACTATCAAAGCAACAGATCTATCGATTTACGCATTTAATGATAGACAATCAATTTTTTTATATGAGTGCCGTCAGAAAACCCGACAATTTAAAAATAGAACTTTTGTATGACAAAAATGCGGGTTTCAAAATTATTTATAGAGTGCATGTGACAAGAAAGAATATTCCAATCTATTATTCTAGTCTTTTCGGCCAAATCAAAATCATGTGAGATGCAATAATAAGTAATACTACTGAAAGATTTTATGCATAAATCGATCGGCTATTTTTTTAAACCAAAGTAAGTGATATGTATTTTTTTTCTTTAC